CTCCCTTCTAAGTAAAGATAAAAGGGTCGGGGGAATAATACAGCCGCCGCCCCCTTCCCAAAAAAAATCACCAAAGCACGCCATGCGGGCACAGAAGTCAGCAGGTTGGTTACTCTCACGCGGAACATACTGAAATAGGACTTGTTTAAAATCCAGTAGGAAAGAAAGATCCAGGCCATCCGTCCGAGTGTGAATTTTGTTCAGCCGGTTGAACGTAGCTTGGAGCCAACAAATGGCATTGCGGCAATCTCCCTCAATGATGATTCCATTATAATCCAGCATCTCCATAGTAGCAATCTCCCTAATAGCCAAAGCCGGCAAGATTTCAGCGGTCGTAACATCCCAGTGCTCGACATGCCACCCAGCAGCAAGAATGAGGCGTCCCATGTGATCCCGAACGACAACCCCCAGCCCTGCAGAAGCAAAGTCTTGGATCGAGGCGTCAACATTAAACTTAATTCAGTCAGAAGGGGGGTGCACCAAAGTTTGTCGGAAGGTGGCCCGGAGGGCTGAGCAGTGCACCATTGCTCCATAGCAGGCAAAGTATAAGGCTTCGGCAGCATCGATAGGACGGTCGCTACAATGACCGATGGCGTGGAGCAAGACCGCACATGAATCTTATCGTTCCGGGATCTCCAAAATTGGTAAATGATGTAACAATAGAGCCTACCCATACTCGGATTGTCATCTGCAGAGCACCTCAGGCCATCCAATAAATCATTCCAGGAATTGAATTTCGGCACCTCAAAGCCCCAATTGGCAGCAGTCTCAAAAATCATCAGCAACTTGTCACAACCGCAAGTCAGGTGGTGAAGAGATTCCTCCGCATTGCTGCCCCATGGGCACTCCGCCGTCTCCCGGAGCCCTCTACGATACAGCCAAAGGTTAGTGGGCACCGCATTCCTGAGGGCCCGCCACCAGAACAGATGCTCCCGTGGATGCAGCTTAAGCTTTTTCAGCCACCGAACATGGGGGTCACGGTAGGGGAATTTAATCCTGTATGCCATAGACGTGATGGTGGAGCCAAGGGGCGAGTGCACAAGATCCGGTCTATCCACGCCCTCCCCCGTATTAGTTTGCAGCAACAAGATCCGTTGGGCCAAAGTTTCCCCGAAGCACAAGTCGATGAGGTCCCGCCTCCAAGTCTGATTATCATCCAGGAAGTCACCAAACGATTTCTCCTCGAGCGTAGTGGCATCCAAGTACGAAGGCCAATTGCACAAGCTGCGGGTAAGAATCCAGATATCATTTAGGATGTCTATGTTCTTTCCATCCCCAATATTCCAATGGACAATGGGCCTTAGCGCAGTCACCCCCTCAATCATAATTTTCCATCTCGTAGATGTGTTCCGGCCACCCCCCCCCCCCCCCCCCCCCCCCGACCCCCGAGAGAAATCGGAAGCCACCAGCTTCCTCATTACTAGAGGTACCCCGAGGTACTCAAAGTTCTCCACCCGGCGGAACCCAAGGGAATTAGTGATCCGTCGTTGTTTCCAGAAGGGGCATCTTTTGCTAAACAGAATCGCCGATTTGGCACAATTCATCTTCTGACCAGACCATCTACAGTAGTTGTCCAGCACCTCCTTGATGCATTTGGCTCTGGCACCACTCGCCTCAGCAAAGATAAGGATGTCGTCCACGTACAGTAGGTGCGAGATCCGAGGGGCATCCCTCATTATCCGAACACCGAGAAAGTCACCCTGTTGAGAGAGGGTCTTGGTCATCAACTCCGAGCAAAGGATGAAGAGGTACGGTGACAAGGGGCAGCCTTGCCGGAACCCGTAGCGCCCATCAATCCAATCCATCCTGCATCCGTTAATAAGCAGTTGAAAACGAGGAAAAGAAATGCAGTTGGTTACCCAATGGGTGAATCTCCTCGGGAAGCCCATCCGATCAATAACTTGAGAAAGTGTATCCCAGGCCATACAGTCATAGGCCTGCTCCATATCAATCTTGAGGGCCATCATACCCGCAAGCTTGGTCGAATGTTGGAACGTGCACATAATTTCTTGGGCCATTAAGGCATGGTGGGATATGGAGTGACCAGGGACGAAGGCCCCTTTCTCTTCACCAATAACTTGCGATAGAACCGGTTTCATTTGCCCCACAAGGACCTTCGCCACCACCTTGTAGAGCGTTTGACAAAGACTAATAGGACAAAACTTTGTAGGGGAGTTAGCATTCGCCACTTTCGGGATAAGTACAATCACCGTCTCCTTCCAATTATCCGCCATCTGGGTGGTAAGGAAAAAGTCACTTACCGCCGCCACGACCTCCCTCTTAATGATTTCCCAATAGAATTTTAGGAAGGAAGTCGTGATACCATCACTACCGGGAGCACGATTGGCTCCCATGCTAAAGACCGCCCTCCGAATCTCCTCCTCCGAAATAGCTTCCGTTAGAGAATCCATAAAATGCTCAGGGACCCTAGCTCCCTCTTCAAAATCAGGCCAATTACCCAGACAAGCATTCCTATCCCTCCATTTGGCTCTGAAGAAGGATAATAATTCCTCCTGGATTCGTGCGGGATCAGTCTCCAGAATGCCCCCCTCCGTAAGGGTGCTCAAGATGCGATTCTCAAGGCGTCGACTAGTAGCCGCCATATGGAAGAAGTGGGAGTTCGCATCTCCCTCTTCAATCCATCTCAATTTCACACGTTGTCTCCACCAGATTGAAATACGGGATAAGGTATCACAAAGCTCACCCACCGAACTTCGGAGCTCCACCTCTTGAGCAGCATCCAGTCCCCCCAGGGTACAGTCGGTGTCCTGAAGCTCCAAAATTCGCCGCTCCAGCCGAGCCCTAAGGCTATTCAAGTCCCGAATACGATTACAGCTCCAAAAGAATAATGGCCGCAGCGTCCGGTGGCATTTCCTGTCCAAGATAGTCACCGGCGTCCCAAGATCAAGCCGAGACCACTGAGACTAGACAACCCGCCAGGAGGCGGGGAAGGTTGTCCACACATCTTCAAACCGAAAACATTTATCCCTATGTTCAACCACCCGTAGTTTAAGAGTAAGCAGCAGTGGAGAATGATCAGAAGCCACACGCCCCATATGTCGCACCGTTGCAAACGGGGCACACCTAAGGCCCTTTGTATTCATGAGACACCGATCAAGCCAGACCCAAATTTTGTTGTTGCCCATTTTGTTGTTGGTCCAAGTGTACTTAGGATCCACAAACCCAAGGTCGTGAAGATCATTCTGAGACATGAACTCAGACATTTCCCGAGCCCCCGCCGAAAAGGAGAAACGCTTGCCCCCCTTTTTTTCCTCCTGGCTCAAACAGCGATTAAAATCACCAGCAACAAGGAGCGCTAGAGATGGTACCGCATGAGCTTCAATTGTCTTCCACAGCAGACGCAGAATGTGGAGGTCCTTATTGGCATAGACCACGACAACGATCCATTGATGACCGTCGATTAAGGTTCCCCACGACCACTTGATCACTAACAGGCAGAACATCAAAAAGGACAATGTCCCACCTCCAAAGGAGGAGAATACCACCGGATTTGCCAACGAAAGGTTGGTGGAAGAAGTTCCACCCCACACCAATGAGCTTGTCAATGTCCGCACGGTCACACCTCTAAATCTTGGTTTCAACCAACCCAATGAACTGCACTTCATTGTCACCCACCAGGTGACGTAGGTAGTTGCTCGTGTGCTTCTTCCGAGCCCCCCTGCAAATCCAGAACATAGTCATATACATTAAACAACCATAGGGGACGCGTCCCCTCCGCCGGAAGTGGTAATGCCATCCTTTTTCCTCTTTCTAGGAGCTTCCTCAATCGGTCCCAAAGCCTGTAGCTCCATGTCAAAATGTGCCTTAGACTCCCCCAGCTTGGGCCTGGCCGGCCTCGTTTCCAACGATCTTATGCCCGCCGAGAACAACAAAGGCTCCGTAAGGCCGGGCTTCTTGTCACCTCGACTAGGGCGGAAATTCTCCTTCATGCGACGAACTTTGGGTTCTTTAATCTTGGCAAGGTCCACTTGCCTAGGAACATTCTCACACAAGGGTGACTTGACTGCCGGCTACTCCTTCTTCTGTAGCCTCCTTCCATTCCTCGGTGGGACGACGTTCCAAGGCCCATATAGTCTTTCGTCTTCAGTAAGCTCAGCTATCTTGGGAGGAAGCTCTCCCACAGCATGAATGGGAGTAGATGTCGAGGACGACTGCCCCATATCTCCCGGAATTACCTTGCCCGACAGATTACCCACACTCGGCGGGTTGGGGATG